CAGATAAAAAATTATCATCGTTCAACTATGGGGCAGGAACATTTGTGAAAACTAAATAAAACTAACTCATTCTGGTTTAATTACATTAAGTTACAGTCGTTACAAGAAATTTGTAAATTTTTTGGATTTTTGGACAGTTTAAAAATTTGAATTACAAAGATCTTGTATTGGCTGCTCAACATTTTCCGCATAAATATGACAAAAACAATTTCACAAGAACTTGAAAATGAGGTTTCTTTCGTGATGCCCATCACATTTCACAGGTTTGTCACAAGTCAATTCAGAATTTAACCAAATAAATACACTATGAGAATCAGTTTTAATAGAGACATCACTTGGATTCCATTTCAATGCCATATTTAGACCTTCAATACATGCATCTAATTCGGCCACATTGATATGCATTGCATCAGACTTTGGTCGGAGCCATGTCGCATCTTCTATCTTTCTGTCACCTTGCATTATCACAACTCCTTTTGCCAGCGAACTTGCATCGCACCATACAGTCAGAGATGCATTTGGTTTAACATTTTATACACCTTTTGCCGGATCGCACTTTACGACTTTATCTACAACTTCCTGCATCATTTCGATAACATACTTTTTCGTAATAGGTTCATCCCAACCTGCTTTGTTTGTACATCTTTTTATATAGCTGCATACCAGTCTCAACCATCCAGCAACTGGTAGATTAGCAATCAGATTACCACATAATGAGAATATATCCCTCTTTGTGAGCACAGATTTAATAATAGGAAGCTCGCGTCCTCTCTTCCACAACATCTCCTTTGTTAATGGATTTACTGTGACTTCTAATCCTAGTGCATGAACTGGGTTTTCGCCAAAATATTCAGGTGCTTTTGCATAAAGACCTAATTTCTTCATATGTATCACCAGCTTTCTTTCATTTCCATTGGTTGCTCGGGTGTCATCAATGTATCCTCTTGTTGTTTTTGCCAGTGCAGAATCTTGTTGGAGAACATACCGCAATATTGAGCTTATCATCACTGGTGCCAAACTTAAACCAAACCCCAAACGTGTAAGTGCATATCGCTGATTTTTATAGATGACCGTCTGGTAAGGCCAATGCCTTTTATGCACATGAATTTGTAAATATGCTCTTCTTAGATCCACTACCAAGTCATTGCTGTTTTTACTCATGAGTCTCCACTCCCTTATTGCATCATTGATGACATCAGCAGCCCTTGTAGAGACTTTTACATACGTGTTAAGCTCACGATAATCAAGCACAGGTCTTATCTTCTTTTTATTATCTTGAATGACACACATTAAAATATGCTACATCCACCAAACACCCGTTCGTTGGGTGGCATATTTTAGCACTAACTTCTTCGCATCAAATTATTCCGCCCATTGTTGCAACATTTACTACACGAATCACTTTATAGTCAGGCGGCAGTAACTTCTTGGTGATGATTGATTGCGAACAACCAGCATCCACAAGCGCTTTAGCTTTTCTTCCGTTTATTACCAAGTCAATAGTAGGTAGTCTTGTTTCGGGACGAGTTCTTGTAAAGATACCTAATGCGAACTCGTCCCATTTAAGTTTTCCTGGTTTCTTTGACGTTTGTAGCAGTCTTTTGCAACATGTTTATCCAAGCATTTTTTACATAAAGAGGTACATTCACGTGCAAAGTGATTTAAGGATTCACAGTTGTAACATCAAATTTCTTTCTTTCTTCGTGTATAACTTGTCGTTCCAGTCGTCCAGTGAATTGCATTTACTTCTTCATTTACAGATAAACATGCCGCATCAAATCTTGTTTGTGCAACCACGGATGCAGTCTTGACGCAATCGTCAAAGCTCAATGCGTTGTCTCCCCGAAGAATGGCACGCAGAATGGCACCATCATTAATGCCAATTATGAATTGGTCACGAAGTCGGCCGTCTTTCTATGAGGGCAAGAACTTGCAGTCTTGAGCTGCTCGAATCACTCGATGCACGAACGTCTGTATAGATTCTTCAGTACCTCAGTTAATTTTTCCAAACTCATACCGTGAGATTAACGATGATTTTCTTATTTCCAACGTTTCCAATTTCGTTACCAATTCTTCGTACGAAACATCCTCTGGAACTTCCGGTGCTGTTAATTCTTCCATGGTCTTGTAAGTCTTTAACGGGAGAGCGGCAAGCAAAAACGCTACGTGTTGATCTGAAGTTATACTGTTTATTGCAAAGAAGGAAGTCATCTGTCGAATAAATCGCTTTGGCTGTCCATCTTCATATTGCGGAGATAATAGACATGCCCGGTTAGCTTGTTGTTCGACACATTTAAAAGCCATTTTTTTTGTTGTTGACGTTTTCTTTTACTTGCATACAAAGTTTTCCGTTTACAAAAACAAAATTGTTCGCTTTATATAGCATATAATACAACTTGACTCTTGTCGACAATTAATAAAAAAACGTTAAAATAATAGAAAATCACAACTTGTGACTTTTGTCAATAATTAGCACGCTAATTATTAATGACACACAACCGAATGTTATATTTACACTAGTATAAGGTTCTGACTAAAAGATCTTACTGATCTATTTCAGATACCTAGTTTTTTTTAATGTTAAAACAAATAAAACTAATTTGACACAAAAAAATACCAAAATTTTTAATTTTTCGGACTCTGAGTCGCCACCTAATTTTACGGTATGGAAACTTGCACCTAGTGTAGCAGCTATAGTATAGTATAGCACATAACATAAAGAATCTGTGAAAAAAGTAAAAAGACCAAAAATGATAAAGGTTTCAACATCTTAGTTCATATAAGAGAAATTGAGTTTTAAGAAATATTTAAATTGCCTATCTAAAAACTCTAAATCATATTGTTTTTTGTCATTAATTATGGTGTAGGTGTTGTAAGTTAACATTTATGTTGTAAGTCAACATTTTGTCATCAAAAAAGAACTACGATGCTAGTACAAACACAAAAGAAAAATACGAAAGTTTGTACTTTAAAAAACATGAAGCATGTCAAAAAATTCAATTAGAATTTATTATTTTGAATTTAAAAATGATAAATTTTTTTAATATATTGTGATTGAAAGGTTTAAGCTTCCTTACAATGTAAGTGTTTGTAACTGTTTAAAATGAAAAAGTTACTAGATTGTGAAATGTAGAAATGCACTAACTAAGAAATTTAGAAGTGCACACTTCATTAGGGTTGGGGTCTAGCACATGTTTGTAAAAAGAGTAAAAGTTTAGTAAAAATAGGCTGATTTGCATTCATATTATATTTGATTTAAAATTTCTTAAATTTTAGTATTTGAATAATAATATTATTCAAATACTAAAATTTATATATATGCATTTAATAAAAATATATATATATATATGCATTTGCTTTCCATAAATAAGGATAATTGGTGTTTTTTGATAAATACTAAGAGGTTCGTGTTTTTTTTTTTCATTTTTAATACAGAGAAGATAATGATCAGATGGTTGTGTGATGACTGTAAGAGATGACATGATAAAAGTTAAAAAAAAAAGATAAACAAGATTATTTTTATTGTCGAAATGTATTTAAAAAAATGTCTTAACAAAGCCAGAAACAAGAACATTAAAATGATGATGAAGATGATGACAAAGCGAGAAATGACGAGCCAGATGATAAGCCAGAAACAAGAACTTTAAAACGATAATGATGATTGTTTTACATCTTATACAGCCCTTGGAATTAAGGTTGGCATTTGGCAATACTGACCTAACTGCTGACCTTAAGATGTTTTATGGTAGCTTTTAATGTCAATTTTTTTTCCAAGCTAAATTTTTCTAATTTCTAGGGCTGCTTATATATACAATAATATAATAATAGCATTTAAAAAATATAAAGCATGTAGAATATAAATAAAGCTGTTGGTTACTGATGTACCCTATTGGCATACAGAAAAAACGTTTATGAAAAAGGAAATTAAGTTTTGTAAATTGTTAAAAAAAAGTTTTTCAAGTGTAAACAGCTACAATAAATGTGGAAATCATGCAAATCAAGAAATCACTGAATCATAGAAATCAAGGAATTCAGAGAAAATCAGGGAAATTTAAATATGATCAGGGAAAAAAAGATGGAATCAGCTAAAAGTCAGGGAAAATCAAATGGTCTCATACCTTCAGACATGCTAATTTTACCCCCTGAAATGTCTAAACTTTAATGTTAAGGTTTTGAGTAAAAATGATAGAAATATCAGGGAAAAATAAACATAAATTTTATTAAAAAAATCAGTGAAAATTAGGGAATTTTAATTGCAAATAGTGAACAAACTGATTATAAATGTGATCCACTTAATGAAGTTTTTAACTTCACATTAAAAAACAGTGATTGGTTATACAAGAAATTATATCATCTTCAGATTCAATGCAAATGTCATTTGTTTTAAAAATTTTAAAATGTTTGGAAATGCTGCTAGTTGCATAATCATTGACCCATACACACACACACACACACACACACACACACACACACACACACACACACACACACACACACACACACACACACACACACACACATATATATATATATTTATATATATTTGTATATACACATACACTTACTAAAGCGTGTTTTGATAAGCATTTGCTCACTTTTTCTGCTTACCTTAAGCTATACCGTTTTTTTTTTGAAAAAGAAGAAAAAACAAAGAATGATGAATGAAACGATTGGTTCCCCATTCCAAACCCTCAGTCGATGTAGCAGCACTCCACTGCAAGTCAGGCTATTTGTCAGTCAATGTATGTACTGAAGCCCCCAGCAGCAGGCTATTTCAGTATGACGTCAGATTGCTTACCTTAGTACGCAATACTATTTGTATATATATATATATATATATATATATATATATATATATATACACATACATACATGTATACATGCATATATACACATATACATATATACATATTTGGGATTTAATTCTATATTGCTTGCTTTTTATGTCAGAGATACAAAATATATCTATGTATGTATGTTGTATAACGTTAATATACTTGTTTTAGAACATTACATTACTTTAAATAAAATTAACCATGGAAACTGTAAATGGAAGTATTGATTCAATAGCCCCTGAAGTAAAGATTGAAGCAGAGAAACTTAAAGATGAAGCAAACAACTTTTTTAGAGGTAATTTCCAATTTTTCATTAAACCATAATCAACATTAGTAGCAATTATAACAATAATAATAATGAAAATACAACAACTACTACTACTACTACTACTACTACTACTACTACTACTACTACTACTACTACTACTACTACTACTACTACTACATTTATTTCTACTATAAATTTGAATGGGGCTGGGTTTAATAAAATATAGCTGGGGCCAGGTTTTGACATTTATACATCCTAAAGTATATGTTTTTAAATTAAAATTCATGTTACATTTTGTATATATATGCATATATAAACATTGTTATGCTCAACATGATCATCATAATCATCATTACCATCATCATGATCATTATCATTATCATCATCATGATCATCATCATCATCATGATCATCATGATCATCATGATCATGATCATCATCATGATCATCATCATCATCATCATCATCATCATCATCATTATCATCATCTTCACTCTGTTATTAGTTTCTTTATATAAAGTTTTTGAAATTTAAATCCAAGGATGCGGAATCCCGAAAAGGACTCTGGATTTTAAATCACAAAAAGATAACTTCTTCCTAGTTTTTGGTATCCAGGAGCTCTGAAAATATGAAGTTTATGGACTACTAATAGGGAAAAAAATAAGACTTTTAGGTAAAAGGAACAATAATTTTTTTTTAACCCAGAGTCCTTAGGTATAATGGCAGCAAGGGCTGCAAGACTTCAAGAGTCCTGGAGTCCTTGCCACCATTATACCTATTAGTCTTCTTATAGCAGATCATAATTCAACAAACATGTTTAGAGCTTCTAGACATTACAGACCTGAAAAAATGGAAATATAAAGCCGTAGTCCTTTTGAAACTTCGAATCCCTGTTTAAATCATTTCTTTCTAACTACATTATTAAATTAATTATTGAAGGCCTACACTCTTCTTCATTTCGAGTAACTTTAAAGGTACCACAAGGTTCTATCTTTGCTCCTGTATTGTTACTTATCTACAATAACAATCTTCATGAAAATTTTACATCTTAAGTGGCTCTATTTGCTGACAACTCAAATCTATACTCTTGTCTTGAAAAAAAGTCTTTACTTTTTAATTGCTTAAAACAAGCAGCCAATTTTTATTCTGGTCTCTATTCTGTAACAGCTTACAATGGCATTTTTGAATTTTAAGTCTGAACTTAAAATCCTCAACTTTTGTTAGATTAAAAAACTTATTTATTTACTGCAAAAAAAGTATTACAATATTGTTGGCATTTTTATATTGGTAAATAACAACCCTCTAACTCTCAGATAAAGTCTAAAAGCACATTGTAAATGTAATTAGACCTGCTATATCTGCCAAGCTTGAGACACTCTCCCATTGTTGTAAGGTTGTATTTCTTTTGATATTATTGACCATGATAGTATTTTATAATTACTATCATTACATTAAACCAAAACTCATTTTTACTTGGCTTCTTATTCAACAAGTTGCACCCTTTTACTCTATCTGTCCCTTCATGCCATAAAAACCTTTATTAATCCAATTTTTTTTCTTGCACATCAAAAAAACCTTATAACTCGTACCTATCTTTATGTTTTTCTTTTTTATACAATCTACAATTTTTTAAGTCTCCAGTTAACTGTTTACTTGCTTTTTAACTCTATTCTCTGTTTTAAAGTAAATCATAACATAATAGTGGTTGTTTGCAACCTTGTTGGAAGTAAATTAGAGTTTAAAAATAATAAATACATGCCAGTATTTAATAAATAGTAAATGTAAGTATAAAATTATAATATATAAATTATTATAAATTTTTTTCTAGCCTGGACTATCAATCATGGGTAAATCTTATAATTTTCCTGGGGCCGGGGCCAAGTTAGCAAAACTAAATCCCCGGTCACTTTTGACTACTACTATTTCTACTACAACAACAACAATAACAACAACAACAACAACAAATACTACTACTACTACTACTACTACTACTACTACTAATAATAATAATAATAATAATAATCATCATAACAAAAATAATGATGATGATAATGGTGATGACGATGATGATGATGATGATGATGATGATGATGATGATGATGATGATGATGATGATGATGATGATGATGATGATGATGATGATGATGATGATGATGATGATGATGATGATGATGATGATGATATCACTATTGCTAAAAAGTAACAATAATAATTATTATTTTAAGAGCCTCTTAAACTTTTTTTCAAAATTAATGAAATTTTTAAAAGACACAATTTGCTTTTTAAGATGGTAAGTATGATAAATCTGTTGAATTCTACACAAAAGCAATAGAACTCAATCCATATGTAGCAGCTTATTATGGTAATAGGAGTTTTTCAAATATTAAGCTTGAATGCTTTGGATCTGCACTTGAAGATGCAAATCAGGCAATCAAAATTGATCGAAAGTATATAAAAGTAAGTTGTTTATATTAAACTTTTTTTTTTAATTGTATGCTTATTTAGTTAGATTAATGGTATTTTTTTTGAAACATTCAAGTTTTTTTGCACTTTTTTACACTTTAATTTTATCTATTCTTAATTGTATAATAAGTATATGCTTATTTTTTATTTGTAAAAGTCAAGAAATACTATATTCAGAAAAGTGTTAAATTAATAAATAATTTCTTCAGAAATTTAAAGCAAATAATGCCTAATAATTAAGAAATTAGTAGTTAAAAAAATTTAAGTATTATGTATTTATAAATTTTTTATAAAGCTTTAAAACTTTTTAAAAACTTATAAAACTCTATTTCTATTGAAAAAAAAATGGACAGTTTCATAAAAAAAAAAAAATTAAAAAAATGCAAAATGTATATTATACTCTCGCTCTTAACATGTTTTATATGTTTTTTTAGTTATTTTTGAGCTTATTTATTTTATTCCTTTTTTTAAGTTCAACAGGTTTTGTTTACATTTTAATATAGCACTTTAAAAAAAGTATATTGATATAAATAAATAATTTTTTTTTCAGAATTTATAGTTTGGTTTAACTTTTTAATAGGGTTATTATAGACGTGCATCTGCTTATATGGCTTTAGGAAAGTTCAAGTTAAGTTTAAAAGATTATGAAGCGGTAGGTTTTTTTTAATAATTTTTATTTATATTATTATATAATTATATTATAATAAGTTTATAATATATATATATATATATATATATATATATATATATATATATATATATATATATATATATATATATATATATATATATATATAAGGGTATTAGCCGAGTTTGATGGCACTGCGTATAACATGGTGTTCCCAATCGGTTTAAAATTCCCAAAGGTTCATAAGATCATTGTAAAAAAGAAAAAATCAGTCTCAGATTTTAACTGTCGCGCTTGACTAGTAAAAAACACAATTAGTACGAAATGAATTAAGTTGATTGATTTTTTTTTGTGCAAAAATGATGTGCAAAAAAGCGTTGCACTGTGGAAAATAAAGTTCTATTTAGAATCAAAAATCAATAATATTTTTGTTACTAAAGATTAAGTGTTGAAATTTTGCACTAATATAAAGTAGTATATGACACTTCTAAGAAAATAGTTTTTATAAAAAAAATTTTTAATATAAATTTGTAAATAAAAATTAAAAAATTCAAATTTGCGATTTTTTATTTTATTTTCAACTAAACGTGTTCTTTTTAATTATATAAAAAAACTTTAGAAGTATTCGAAACAGCAAAAAATACATAAAATGCTTATTTAATTGAAAAATATATTTATATTAAATTCATTTATATATAAAAAATATTTATATGAGTTTTCGGCTAAACTCTAGACAAAAAAAACAAACACATGCGGGTCGTTCCGTGCCAAATGGTCTAAAATTAGGATTCCAACATGGACCGCTCAGATTTTGATGAAACTTAGTGGGTTGGTTTATATCAATGAGAAAAGCAATTCCTGAAAATTTCAGCCTCAAATCTTATGTGGTTCATGAGATATGGCCATTTGAAATTTCTGATTTTTCCAAAAATAAAAACTTCAGTAGCAAAAACATGTTTTGTTCATACTTTGAAGCTCTGTATTTTAAAAACCAAATTTCAGAAAACCTTCTAGTTTTTTTTTATCATATACAATGCTAGGCTTACTTTGTTAAAACTTTGACATTAAATTTTTAAATGTCACATTTTATTCATAATGGCTGCCTAAAAAACCGAAAAATTTGTTTGCAGATATAGAAAGTTGATTTTTGATGGGTCAATATACAAAACTAGCAATTTAAGAAGTAAAAATACATATCTTTTTAGTTTCTAATTTAGCTTCCTAATTTTCAGAAATTTGTTGATATGATACAATTCAGTAAGAAATTATGGACCCCTAAAAATGGCTCCGGCTAGAACTTACAAAATTGTGCCTTCCCTTAAATCCAATGGTAACCTATGATCAACGCTGATTTTCATGATATACTTTTTTTTCTACTCATTTAGTAGACTTTATTAAAGTGATTTCAGAAAAAAAAATAGTGGGTACTCATGGGGAAGTTACAAAGTCAGAACAATGAAGTCGGCACAAAATGCATTAAAAACGCAAAAAATAGAGATATTGATGTACTTTAGTATTCATTATTTACTGCAATGCAAAAAAATGTATATATATATGAAAGTATATCAAAATCATTGCTACAAATTAGCTTTAAATTAGGACTGAATTAAACTCAGGTTTTAAATAACCTTAGTTGCCCCCCCCCCCCCCCTCACCCTGTCTTTTTATTTTTTTAAATGGGTATTTTTGCCCAGAACATTCTTATCTTAAGAAGAACTTATTTCTCGATAACATTTTAAACTACTGTTTATTAAACATTTTAGCTTATGCAGTGTTTCTGTTATATCTGATGCATGAAGTATCTTTATGCACCAAGTATTGAACATACTCAAATAATAGCTGTGTTATTTATTTGTAAATGCTTATTAGACACAACACATTTTTGTTTCTATATCAGTTATTATCTTACAGTTTTATATCCTGACTTAAATTTAGTATCATTTTCCCCATTTTATTATTGTCATGTTTAAATTTAGATTACAGATTATATCAAGTGATAAGAGTAATTTGATTTGTCATAGCAATACACAAGTTTATTATGTAATTATATAATACCTATTATGCATTAAAAAACATTATTTTATAAAAAATCAACATAAAGATGGAATCATTCAAGTATGCTTTAATACATTTTTTCGATTGATCAAGCTTATAAAAATTTTGCTTTGTTATTATATAATTTCGTTATTAAACATTCTATTGTACAAATGTATTATTTCAGTTTTTTCTTGAGCTGATAGTTCTTAGCATCTACCAGTTGCTGATTGCACTTTTAAAGATGAAATTTTGCATAGAACGTGCATTATTGGAACACAGCAAATATCTTCTCTATGTGGCCAAGTAAAAGTGTTAGAGGAAATAGACTGCTTCATGAACTTTATAAGAATATCTTGATTTTCTTCAGATATTTCCACAATATTACCTAAAAACCATTTTCCATCATAAACACATGCTATATAAATTCCTTGTGAAAGAGATGCAAGTGGAATTGTATAGTTCTGTTGCATTGTTGAAATATTGGACAATGTGTTTACATTAGTAAACACATTGTCCAACCCGTCTCATTTGTAAAGTAGTTAAATAAACCCGTCTCATTTGTAAAGTAGTTAATGATTGTGGTATAAAACAATATTGGTTTCTTGTTCCTGGAATTGTTGAACAAGTAGCATAACATTCTTCTAATTTAAATTTCATGCAATGTAATGTAACTGCATCATTTGAAATGTGTTGAAAATATTTTTTGCATTTTTAATGCATTTTGTGCCAACTTCATTGTTCTTACTTTCTAACTTCCCCTATGAGTACCCACTATTTTTTTTTCTGAAATCACTTTAATAAAGTCTACTAAATGAGTAGAAAAAAAGTATATCATGAAAATCAGTGTTGATCATAGGTTACCAGTGGATTTAAGGGAAGGCACAATTTTGTAAGTTCTAGCCGGAGTAATTTTTAGGGGTCCATAATTTCTTACTGTATTGTATCATATCAGCAAATTTCTGAAAATTAGGAAGTCTACCGTATATAGAAACTAAAAAGATAAATATTTTTACTTCTTAAATTGCTAGTTTTGTATATTGACCCATCAAAAATCAACTTTCTATAACTGCAAACAAATTTTTCGGTTTTTTAGGCAGCCATTATGGATAAAATGTGACATTTAAAAATTTAATGTCAAAGTTTTAACAAAGTAAGCCTAGCATTGTATATGATAAAAAAAACTAGAAGGTTTTCTGAAATTTAGTTTTTAAAATACAGAGCTTCAAAGTATGAACAAAACATGTTTTTGCTACTGAAGTTTTTATTTTTGGAAAAATCAGAAATTTCAAATGGCCATATCTTATGAACCACATAAGATTTGAAGCTGAAATTTTCAGGAATTGCTTTTCTCATTGATATAAACCAACCCACTAAGTTTCATCAAAATCTGAGGGGGTCCATGTTTGACCCTGGTTCACTTGGCATGGAATGACCCATGCTTTTTAAGCTTTTTAACAAACATTTTTCTTGTATTAGGCTTAATTACATTATTAATTTGATTTTTTAATTGTTGCGTGTAATTAATTAAATTTTTTGTTAAAATTCAACATTGACACAAAAGTTTTTGTTATAGAAATATTCAGAATAGTTTATTAATAATAATAATATTTATATTTTATTAATAACAATTTTTATACAGTGAGTTTTTATCAAATAAAATATGTTGACTTTAAAAAGCTGCAAAGTATCTTCATCAAGTTCTTGGACATTTTTGCTGTACAGTTTTCTAATGCTGGTGATGTAGGGATCAGAAGTGTACAGAAGAGTATGAAATGTGTCCTCATTTGTAGGTAATGTAAAACATTTCCTAGCATAATGAAGGCAAAATTTTTTTTTAATTTTTATAAGAAAATTTTTGCGCATCTTCTGAAAGTTGAACAGTAGGCAGCACTGTAAAATCTTTTATAATATTTTCTCAGTGAAGTAAAATTTTGTGTACTGAAGATGGCATATAGTACCAGCTATAATTACTCACATGAATGTAGGCAGTGTCTATAGCATATGTAACAAAACATTCAGCATTTATCACAACACCTGAGGAGAGAGCTTGTAGAATTATTATAAGTCACTTAATCAAATTTTCATTTACTCCAGTAATTTCAGAAGAGCAGCTTGCATTGTAAAGAAATCTCCTAGCAGTATTACCATCATTAGTATTACCACTTACTTGTTTCGATTTGTCGATGATTAAGCTAGGGAGCTGCTCACGAAAACGTTTCTGTACCAAGGTCTTCTTTTTTTCTTTTGTTATTTTTTTTCTTCACTTTTAGCTGACCATGTTTGAAAAGTTATGTAATATCATTTCCATACACTGAACCCATGCACATAATGCGGACACCCCATATTGATACAAACTTTTATTTTCAATTTTCACTTTAGTCAAATTGTTTATTTGTCATGGAGTAGCTCCACATATTGTACATATAGATGCAGAAAGCGTATCCATTAATACCTGAGCCACTTTTCCATCTATTTGGCTTTTTATTTCATTTACAACAACCAATAATAATACAAATAATAGAATGCATGTCCATCAAAATTAATTCTCAATAAAAAGTTGACAAAATAACTTAAGCAAAGCTTTTGTTATAAACAGATATAGTCTGAAACCATGATAAAAAGCGTTTTTTTGTTTTCTGGCTTTTAACACTTTATCTATAATTTTGGAAACCACACGTATGCGCACCTGATTTTTAATAAATCAATTTTATCGACTAAAAATCAATTACAGAAATGAAGAGTGAAATCAATTTTATCAACTAAAAATCAATTACAGAAATGAAGAGTGGAGAAGCATGGGTGACTACTAAAAATATGGGTGAATTTTAAGACTTTTTATCTTATTTTATAAGTTCAATTAGTTATTAGTAAACAAAACCATATAGTCAAAAAAATGAATTTGTTCTAAAATCTCCATAACCTGATGCTTTCAAAAATGTATAACACTTTATACTTATTTATAAAAAGTTTTATAGAAAATAACTTTTAAAGTGATGAAGCAAATAAGTTTCAATTGAACATTTACATAAGTATGAAACAGTAGGGCTTCAAAAATTATCTTTTTACACAAAATTAGCTGAATTCTCTACATTATAGTAAAGATTAACTATCAAACTATTTAAAAAAATTTATGTACAATTTCTGCAGTGAAAATGAAAATTTGAGCAAAAGCATTTATGATGCATTTTTGTAGTACTATTTTCCACAGTGCATTGTCATTAACAAGCAAGATCATTCATTCAAAAGTTAAAAAGTATATTTATTTTTTTCAAATTTTTTTCAAATTTTAACTCTTTATTTACATTTTTACTGTTTATCTTAAGTTAGAAATGTTACAAAAAGATCTTTGCATGTTAATAAATATACTTTGAATTAACGTTTCTTTATTAAAAGAATTGATAATACTTTTGTTAAAATAATAAGTTGTTTAAATGAACTGAAAATAACAACAATAAACTTGAAAAAATCAAAAATAAAACTTGAAATGAAACGTATCATTTATGTTATATTTGTGTAAAACATAAAAGAAGATAATTAAAAAATATAATAATATTAATAGTTATTAACCAATATTTATAAATACAAAAATTAATATGTTTTTAAATTTACAAATATACAATATTTACGTAAATTTTTGTAAATAAAAAAGTTATGTAATATTTGTAAATTAGATAAAATTACGTGATATTTGTAAATTGAAAAAAAATTAATTTTTGTATTTAAATATATATATATGTTTTTAAATACCTAGTATATTAGATATTTAAATGTGCAGATTAAATATAGTTGCTGCCCTTGTGTGGAGAAGAAATTTCACTCTCCACCTTAAATGCCTTTGTTACTTATTTCAATTAAATTAACTTAAGTAGCATATTGCAACAAAAGTTTTTTAACAAACATTCTATTTAACGGAAATCGGCAAGCCAACCAAGTTTCTCAATTAAAAGTTATAGAGCTTTCAAAAACTTTCTAATTTAACAGCTATCTATTTAAATAAGTTTTTTGACTTTTAAATTTATTTAATGATAAAAATTACAAATTTAAAATTAGATGAACAAAAATACAAATATGTAAAAAAGTTTATTTAAATATTTTGTTTTAAAAGCATGTGCCACATCAATGGCAGTTCCGCTAACTTTGATTTTTCAACTTTCAATAAAATCTGGAAAGGTTCCACTCTCTTGGCTCAGAGCTAATGTTACACCTATTTATAAAAATAGTAGCAGAACAGATTCAGCCAATTACAGGCCCATATCACTCACTTCTGTTCCATGCAAACTTATGGAAAAAATATTTAGACAAGTAATAATCAATCATTTGGTAAATAACAAATTGCTTTCCAAAACTCAACATGGTTTTGTTTCAAAAAAGACTTGCATCACAAATCTTTTAGAAACAATGGACTTTTTGACTTTTAGCAAATCAAAGAAAAAACCAGTCGACCTAATTTTTCTTGACTTTGCAAAGGCATTTGATAAAGTTTCGCATGTAAGATTGCTGCAAAAGCTTGAAATGTATGGTATAAATGGCAATCTTCTAAACTGGATAAAAGCTTTCTTAACAAACCGCAAGCATTATACTTGGAGAAACAAAATCTGACTGGATTGATGTAACTAGCAGGGTTCCCCAAGGTTCTGTGTTCGGACCAATGCTTTTTGTCATATTTGTTAATGAGCTGCCATTTCATGTCAAATCAGCCTTCAGCATAGCACCTAGAGCTCAACATCGAATCAGATTTCATCGCAAGATTGTCAGGAACTGCGAAATCAGACATAAGTTTTTTAACAACCGTGTAGTCAATGACTGGAATGCTTTGCCAGATAATGTCATTGAGGCAACATCACTTGATAAATTTAAACAACTACTAGACAGTTTTCAGTCATCATAGTTGATACAACTCATCATTTACCGTAAATGCCACACAAAAGTGGCCGAAATACGAGTTGGGTATAGATGCGTATACTCAGCTGATGATGAGTTTAGCAAGGCTGTGGCTTTGTGTAACTTAAACTAACTAACCAACTATATATAACAACTGGTAGATGCTATGAAATATCAGCTCATGAAAAAACTGAAGTACTACATTTGTACAATAGTATATATAATAACAAAATTATATAATAACATGACAAAGTTGTTATTAATTTGATCAATCCGGATTTTTATTAAAGCAAATTTGAATGATTAGTAATAAGTATAAAACAAAAAGTCTTTATTTTCATTACTTACCTAATGTGCTACTTTTATTCTAATTACTATCTAACTTTACAAAATAAATGTCACAGCTTTTATATGACACACTGCCTAAGGTAGAATATTCAATAACTAATTAATAAAATGAATGAAAAAAAAAGTTTTTCTTATGATAAGAATGTTCTGTGCAAAAATATGCATGTTAAAATGTAAATGGACAAGGGAGGGGGAGGCAACTAAGGCTATTTTAAAACTGAGTTTAATTCAGTCTTAGTTTATATTATTTCTAGTAATGATTATGATATATTTTTATATATGTATTTTTTGCATTGCAATAGATAATAAAAAGTACATCAATATCTATATTTTTATTGTTTTTAATGCATTTTGTGCCAAATTCATTGCTTTGACTTTGTCACTTCCCCATGAGTACCCACTATTTTTTTTTTCTAAAATCACTTTAATTAAGTCTGTTAAATGAGTAAAAAAAAAAATATTATGAAGATCAGTGTTGATTTTAGGTTACTGGTGGTTTAAAAGGAAGGCACAATTTTTAAAGTTTTACACAGAGCCATTTTTAGGAGTCCATTATTTCTTACTGAATCATATCTTATCAGAAAAATTTTAATTATTAGCAAGCCTACCATATGTAGAAACCAAAAAGATATGTCTTTTCACTTCTTAAGTTGCTAATTTTGTATATTGACTCATCAAAAATCAACTTTTTATATCTGCAAACATTTTTCAAGGTTTTTTAGGCAGACATTATGGATAAAATGTGACATTAAAAAGTTCAATGTTAAGGTATTAACAAAGTAAGCCTATAGTTGTATATAATAAAAAAGAAGATTTTCTGAATTTTCTTTTTTAAAATACAAAGCTTCAATGTATGAACAAAACATGTTTTTGCTAGCAAAGATTTAATTTTTGGAAAAGTCAGAACTTTCAAATGGTGATATCTCATAAACCACAAAAATCTTTGAGCTGAAATTTTCAGGAATTGCTTTTCTCATTGATTTAAACCAACCCACCAAGTTTCATCAAAATTTTTAAGGGGTCCATGTTGGACCCTAGTTCACTTGGCATGGAATAACCCTTTGTTAAATTTTTAATACTGTTAAGCTTTTTTTTTTACATTTATAATCTGAAAATGAAAATAAGAATTAAAAAAGACAGTTTATGTAACTATTCGTTTTAAAGTTGTTGTTTTTTGCCTTTTAAAACAGAGTTCAAAAGCAATGTGTGCAATTTAAATAGATCAAAGTTTCAATGAATAAATTTGATAATTCATTCATTAAAACTTTAATTGCAAGCAATTGCATTTTGTTTTTGTTTTCTCTTTACTATATCAAACAAAGAAGAGAAATGATTTAAATATGAAAACTTAGGAAAATTAATCATAATGAAACATTTATAAAATGGAAAAATATTCCTGCTTTGAAACATGAGCAAAAATAAAAAATTTATTTTGATTGAAATTTATTTGTATCTAAAAAATATCAAATTTATCTACTTTTTTAAATGTCAGAATGCAATGACTTTTTTTTTCAAGGCCACACCTAAAGTCCCAATTTCTCAAAAACGCTGTATGAATTTTTTTCCTCATAATTTTGAAAAACCTCCTGTAATTTTGACTTTCAAAATTACAGGAGGTTTTTTTTGTTTTTTTTTCTCTGTTTTTAAGCAGAGATTTTTAAAGGTTTGTGTTTTAACATGTTTATTATATTCTTAACTAGCAAAACTTCTTTCCAAGATATCTCATTAATTTACAACACAATTGTTGTAAATTATTTCACTAATGAGAGAGAGGGAGAGAGATAAAGAGAGAGAGAGACAGGACATGGATACATAGAGAGTTGTGTACAGACCTTGTTTTGTTTGGTTGCCAGAAAGCGTGACTATAATTTGTTGGATAATTAAGTGTTAAAGGTAAACAACAAAAAATTTGAGCAAACTGAAAGTTATATCATTGTGTTATTGTAAGCATGATATCTGTAAGTCAGGGAAAAACAGATCAAGAAAAGACAGACCAGAAAAGCCAGGGAAAAAAAAATCAATAAAAGACAGATCAGAAAAGTCAAGGAAAAACAGGGAAAAGTCAAAGACTTTAGATGTCTGCTTCTAAGAATCCTTAGTTAGTCAAATTGAATTTCTTTGCTCATAAAAAAATATTATGTATATATTTTTAATAAATTATCAATATGTTGCATCTGAAATGCCATTTTTATATGACTATTTTTATATAGTTTTTATATTACTTTTATTACCTTTTGTAAGACTGCAAAGATCTTTAAAGCTGATGTTTTAAATGAATGTAAATCTGCAAACAACGTCTAAAAGTTGGATTTTGTCCACAAAAAAAAAACTTTAAAAAGACAGATATGATGCAAGCACTGTCATTAAGGATAAAAAAATCATTCAAAATATATAGAAATACTTAGTTTATGTTTTTATTTGTTTTTTGTATTTATGTATTTTTTTATTTATTTTTTTATTATTATTTTATTATTATTATTATTTTTTTAATTATATTTTATATTTATTATTATTATGTATTTTATGTATTATTTTATTTTATTTCTTTCAAAAAGCTTTTCTAACTTTGATATCAATTCTGTATACAATATTTTCTATACTTATTTTACATTAAGTAACACAGATTTGGTATACTGATATTAAAAAATAAAGTGAACAAAAATATTACAAAATTATATATTTAAAATTTATTAAATTAGGTTGCTAAAGCTTGTCCAAACGATAAAGATGCTCGTTTAAAATACAATGAATGTAAAAAGATAGTTCACCAGCATGCATTTGCAAAAGCTATTAAAATTGATGATCAGAAATCAATCATTGAAAGCTTGGATATTGAGTCTATGGGTAACTTTAATTGATTTTGTAATGAATATTGTATTAAAAAAAAAGTAAAGTAGATTTTTTAATTTTTCTTTTTATGATTACTTAGAGTATTGTTTTTAATTGTGTTTTTTTTTAATAAATAGCTATTGAATCAGAATACACTGGCCCAATTTTGAAGGATGGAAAAACTGTTACAGTAGAGTTTATGGATGAGTTAATTATTCAACTCAAAGATCAAAAGAAACTACATAAAAAATATGCTTTTCAAGTAATGTTATTTTGATTATAACCAGGTTTGGGGTCAAATACAAATATGTTAATCCTGTATTCCCAAATACAATTTCAAATACAAATATATTTAATTAGCATTTTCTTAATTCAGATGCAAATACAATCATTTGTATTTTAAGTTAAGAAAAAATAAAAATAGTTTTAAAAGACACTACTGATAAAATGGTATACTTAATAGAAGAATGCAAACAAGTCTTTTTACAAATATCATTTAAAAGCTATTTTTATAATTTTTTTAGCGTTAAAAACAAAAACAATTAATCTCTTGGCTTTTCCCAAAAAAATGCCACTCAACAGTCAAGTTTATGGAACTAGATTTTGATTTAAATAGATTTTGATCTAATATCAATACAAACATATTAATACAATCTTTTTTTTATCAAGTACAATACAAATAAAAAAAACAATTTAGTCTATTTTTACAAAATGCAAATACGTATTTGACCCAAACCAGGTATGGATAAAAAAAAAGACTTGAAGTGGTTGAACATATTTTTTTATGGCTTTTAGCATCTAAAACTTAAGGTGTAGCATTATTAAATTGTTTTATGAAAAACATTTACAAAACTATTGATTTTTTTTATAGATTTTGATAGATATTAAATCTTATTTCGAAAAACAACCATCATTGGTGGAAATCAATATTCCTGAGGTAAAAATAAAAATTATGACAAAATTTGTTCTACTTCATAATGTAAAACCAAATATTTTAAGTCTAAATTATTAACTAATATATATAATATATAAAAAAATATAAATATATTAGAAAAATTTTGTGTGTGTATATATACAGGCATTGTTAAGAAGAGCTACGCCATTCAGATTTTATATAAATTAAAATGGTTCTTATGCTCTTATTAACGCAAAAAAATCTATTCTGGAAAATTTTTACTTTAAATATCTGCCTCCCTACACTGTCGCTAATTTGCAGTAAAAAAAAAAAGGGGGGGGGGTTGCAATATTACAAATTTGTACATTAGTTTGTAATTGCTATTTTTTAAACATAATATCTTTGGTATTTAAATAATATTTCAAAATATTTTTGTTTAGCAGGGTTTAAAATAGTTACTTTTTTAATCGCTTAAGTTCTGATTTGCAGTTTAAGTTGCAGTTATATGTGGAAGTAAACTTATTTAATGCTATTACGCTATTATTTTTAGTAATTGTTTTTAATTAACAAGATACCTAAAAAAATAAAAGTGCAAATATTTAAACCACTTTAAACAGTTATGAAAAACTGTTTAATACTCCATTCATGGCAGGGTTGACAAAAAAACCCAGCTTAAAAAATAAAACCCAAATATGTTTAGGTTTTTTTTAAATTTTACCACTGATAAATCTGATTTTAGTTTCTATAGTTCCTTTATTTTTTGTTACTAACAATTTGTAATTTTTATACTGTAACTACACAGCCCTCAGAATTAAGGTCGGCATTTGGCAATGCTGACTTAACTGCTGACGTTAATGTGTTTGAGGTCAGCAAAAAATAGCCATCCTCATTTCTGTTTTATGGTAACTTCTTTGTTTCATATTTTTTTTGCCAACCTGATGCCAACCTCTAACAGTTTGAGGTCAGCAATTTATTGCCAACCTCATTTTTCCTAATTTCGAGGGTTCGGAGAGATACACTAGGTCTGGTAAATAAGAAAAAGCAATTGCATTTACTAAGAGTTTTTGAAGTAATTGTTCAGCTTTATCTGAATATAAATTTTAGCAAACTAACTCAAATTTTTATTCATCTTAAGTTAAGCAACTTACTCCAATAACGCTGAATAATTGCTCAGCTTTATGTGAATAAAAATTTAAGCAAAATTGCTGAATTTTTTATTCATATAAAGCTGACCAATTACTAAGTAAAAGCAATTGCCTTTTTTTTATTCATCTGGCCTACTGTATTTATATACAAAATGGTTTTTTTAAGGTATTTACAATAAATATAATCTTTAAGTTTGAATTACTTTCAGAATAATCCAAAACCTGATCAATTATATTTTGTAGCAAGTTGATAATTTATTTATTTTTAAACCAGATAGCAAGTGAAATTGTTATTATTGTATATATTAAAATATAAGAGCAAATTAGTTTAATTTTTATAAAGTAAATAAAAATCATTTCATTAACAAAATTTCAATAAAAGTGCAATAGATTACTAGTATTATATTTAATATCTTTCCTCTCAAATGTCTGAATAAGCAATTTACATATATCATTTGATATTCATATTTGGTCTTTATTTCATTAAGTTTATGTAAAACTACAAAAAAATGAAAAACTATGTAGGTACTCAGCGCAAGGGCACAAGCAGAATACTATTAATTACATAAAACAGTATAAATACTATATATTCTTGCACTCTATTCACAGTGAAAAGTTTACTATCATGACTACCCTGTGATGAGTGTGGCCTTGTCCTTGTTAAGTGTATACACGCTTAAAACATTAAATACATGCAATACCATGTGCATAAAAGTTAGCAATATGTTTACTCATTTGATGAGAGAACATGTTGAAAACTTGTATGTACTTCACAAAGACAGCCTTTGTTGGTAAAAATGATACCCTTGCATATCTGTCTATTCTGCAGGTTTTAAAATTTTTATATCAGCTACAAAACTGTCAAAACTATTAGCATCAAGTTTACTGAAAGGTGAAAAAAGACACAATAGAGTTGAATATTATGTTATTTTTTTTCAGTTCAGTTGTTGCTTTAGTTCAGTTGCTTTAAATATAATGTATAAAAGTTAATTTTTGGCAAGAGTTATGTAGTTTGAGTTTTTTAGTGCCTTATTGAGCTATTTCTCAATCGCATATCAAAACACAATAAAAGTTGCTACAAATTATGTTTAGGTACATATTATTCTAGTAAAATCGAAATTAAAGGTATAGCTTGACTGTATCTAATTATTTTCTTTTTAACAATGGCATTTTTTTATCAAGAATTTAAGTTTTTTTTGCTAATTTAAGGAGCTATGCCTCAATATTTGAAAATAAAGAAAAACAGCTGATGTTATAAATAAGTTATACTTAAAAAGATCTAAAAGCAACTATAAATAAAGTGAAAAACCATGAATTTATCACAAGAAAGGCTTCTAAAACTTAAAGAAACACAAAAAAACTTGGGGATCAAAGCATGGTGGACAAACTAGACTTGATAGTTCAACAGAAAGTTTATTTTTTCAAACAATTACTTATATGATCACCTGGGGAAACAAAACAGGTGATAAAATGCCTTCTAGGAAGAAAAAAAAGATCCAGGTGTTGAAGAAACTGTAATGGTTCTTAACAAATTTGTTTTAGATGATCATAAGAACAATCTAGGCTTAAACACAAATCCACTTACAAAAGAAAATCGATCCATAATCTAAAAAGTCAAAACATATTACTACAAATCAGCTGTTCATTCTCATCTTGTTTTAAAATACAAATATGCTTATATAAAATCAGATATCATGTTGATCAGGCCTAGGATTTTACAGAAAACTGGACAGTTTAATGATCTGTAAAAAAAAATGTAGCGATTAGGCTAACACTTCTGTTTAGTTATAATCACCCACTTTGACAGTAACCTGCAAAGTTCCTGTTAATGTGGGTTTACTTCTAACCTTTCATGGAGACCTTATATACAATTGATTGTTAAATTAGCATTTGCTAAGTTTGGTTCTCTTTATTGTGCTTGCTATTTTCTCTCTCCTGATTGCATTCTCTACCTCTACCTCTACAAATTTCTTATTTGTTCCTGTATGGAATACTGTTGTCACATTTGGGCTGATTCTTCTAATGGTGCTCTTTCTCTTCTAGACAAGGTTCAAAAACACATTTTAAACTTAGTTGAACCTGGTCTTGAATCTGCTAAGCTTGAGCCTCTTTTCCATCGTCGTAAAGTTGCATCTCTTTTCTACAAACACTATCATGATCGCTGCTCCAGGGAGCTATCATCTCTAATTCTATCAACTAGAACTCATTCTTGCTTGACTCATCATTCATCAAAGTCTCATTCTTTTACTGTATATATCCCTGCATGCTCCAGAAACAATATTTTTCTAGTTTTTTTCGATGCACTTATAGGTGCCCTTGTGAACTCTCTCACATCTTCATGTTTTCCTGACTCAAACGACCTTCAATTTTATAAGCCTTCTGCCAACTGTTTCCTTGCTTTATAACTCTATTCTTTTTTATCTTGTAACTTCCAAATTATTAGTGGTTGCTTGCAGCCTTGTTGGGAGTGAATCAGAATAAAATTAAAAAAAAGTTGCAACATATTGCAAACTTCTTGACTACATGTTATAAACTTGTATAATTTTGTATAAAATTATCGGGTGATTCATAAATAATGATACCTTTTTGTATTGATTAATTTTAGCCTCTGTAGTACAAAGTATGAACCGCACATGGTCTTAAAAGAATTTTGTGCTGAATAACGTACCATTCTCATTTTTTTTCTGCGTGCACGCAAGTGAATCAGTAACAATGAAAAGTCGAGACTGGCAAAATGTTGTAATTTCTAAGTATAAAAATGATGATGGTCCAACTAAAATTTTTCGTGATTTGAGTGGCACTCTTAGCATACCAACAATCAAAAAATGGTGCAAAATGATTGCCAAAGATGGTACAATCAAACTTTCAAAACCTCCTGGTTGTCCTCGCACAGCTTGAACAAAAGCAACTATCCAAAAAAAAAAAAAACCCGGCTGAAACGGAAGAAAAAGCCAATTTCTACATGAAAACAGGCAAATGAACTTGATAATTCTCAACCAAGTGTTTATTGTGTTCTTAAAGATGATCTTCGGAAAACACTAAATCCAATCCTTCAAAGTGCAATCTAAATTTTACTGACCGATACGATCTTCAATTGAAATATAGTTGTACTTTAAAATAAAAAAACTCTAAGATTTTTAATAACAGTCAAAAACATTTGTATTTAATATTTATTATTAATCATGTTATTATTAATAATATTTTCATTTAATATTAATTTGATAACATTTATATGACATTGTAAATGCCGTAATTGGGTCTAAAATTTTTAAAAACTGTTCAAATAGCACTTTGATGGATTGGATTTAACGTTTCCCATGATCTTCAGCTTCGATCCTACAAAAAAGTTGTCCAACCACTATTGTCCGATGACCACAAAGAAAAGAGAGTTAAATTTGAAAATTGGATTCGTAACAATTATCGAAAAGCTGATACGATGCGAATCCTTTTTTCTGACGAAAACTTTTTTGATATTGATGGTATTTATAACTCTCAAAATGACAGAATATGGGCTTCAAATCGTGTTGAAGCTGATAGCATTGGAGGAATCAAGCAGCGAAGAAAATTTCCTGAACGTGTTATGGTTTGGTTAGGAGTTTGTTCAAAAGGTGTATCACCATTAGTTATTTTTGAAAAGGGTACCGTTAACCATTAAAGGTATATTGAAGAAGTTTTAGCAGTTGCCAAAAAATATGGCAATAAATTATTTGGTGAAAACTGGATATTTCAGCAGGATGGTGCACGAGCACATACACACCGATTGACACAATCGGTGTCAGGACAATTTTCCTGATTTTATTCCAAAGAACGTTGGCCTCCAAATAGCCCAGATTTGAACCCATTAGAATTTTTTATCTGGAATTTAACCATGCTATTGATTGGAGTCGAGTAAGCTCAAAAAAACGTTAATCGGTGAGTTAAAACGTGCAGTAAAGAGAATTAGATTTGAAATTGTCTTAGAAAGTTGTAATTCTTTTTCAATTCGATTAAATCATGTTTGTGAGAATGGTGGAAACTATTATTCAAAATAAAAAGACATTATCTTATAGAAAAAAATTTTCTCTATCTTTTGAATCTATTTTGAATGTTATTAAGTTAATATCTTAGTAAAAAAAACCTGAAAAATAAATGGTATCACTATTTATGAATCACCCGATCTATGAATCAAGAAAACATATAAAGGGAGTGAATTTAAAGAACTGATGTTCAAGGAAAAAAAACTAGATGAATAAGAATTTTTAGAGCACTTGGAAACAGTCACAGTAAAAGGATGAGACTTGATTGAATGATGAGTAACATGAGAATGAGTTTTGGTAGATGATACAACAGAAGCTAGCTCTTAAGAGCAGTACCCATTATAATGTTTATAGAAGAGAAAAAGAAGCAACATTACAATAATGTGATAATAGTTAAAGGTTGGCTGTCTTTGCACCTTTTCTTTTCGATTTGCACCTTGTCTAAAAGAGAAACGGTATCATTGGAAGATCAACAGTATAACAGTATAATATTCCATACAAGGATGGATTTGAGATTTATAGAGATATAGAATAAAATCTGGAGTAAGAAAGTGAAAGGCATGATGCAACCTTAGCAGATGGTAATTTTGCAATGGATTTGATATATGATTTCCAAAAAAGAAATTGAAAGTAAGAGTTAAGAATCCTAAAAGATGAAGAGTAGATGACTCATTGAGTACATTACTGTTCATAAATATAGGAAGATCTAGATTGTTGCGATAACGATTAGTTGACAAAAATTGAGTTTCAACTGAGTTAAAGTTTACTAGCAACTGTGAGCCCCATGCTGTAGCAGAAGTGAGATCCTTTTCTCAATTTCTCCCTCCAAGCAGAGAGTGTTGGTTTCTTATCAAGATAAAAATAAATGATATTATCATCAGGGAACAATGCCATCTTAGATTTGGAAATTTCTGATTTAATGCACATAAAACCTATAAGTTATTACCGTTAACAAATCAGAAGTTGAATGAGAAGATCGAAATCTATATTGATTATCAGAAAGTTTTATTTTAGTATTACATTCAAGATTAAAGATGAATCATTTGTTAGTTAAAGACTCAAAAACCTTCCTTATGAAAGGAAGAATACTAATGGGGTGGTAGTTAAATGAGTCAGATTGCTCTCCAGAATTTTTTGGAAATAGGGGTAACTGATTATCCCTATTTCTGTATTCCAGCAGGCTAGAAAAAAAGACTCTGATAAGTACTTGTTAAATAGTTTTGAAATTATAGAGGACTTATGGGTGTAATAATTATGATTGGAATTTGAAGCGACACAGGAGAGGAAATCCATGGAGAAGAGTGAGGAAAAATATGGAATCGTCAGTAGGGAATAAAAGTTTTCATGCCTGCTTGAATCCAAGAAGTTTCATAAAAAGATTTATACCCAAGGGTTATGACTAAGAAAATGATGGTGTACCAGTCAGCTTTAAGGTAGTTGTAAGAAATATGATAGGGGGATTCTGATGGGTGATAGGGGGATTCTGATGGGTGATAGGGGGATTCTGATGGGTAATAGTGGATAGAAGGATTCTGATAATCTAGATGAATGAGATTTTAGTGAGATCAAACCATGATTAGTAGCATCTAAGGGTAAATGTGAAAAAACTGAGCACTGACTGGAATCAAAAACAAGGCATAAGTCAAGTAGAGAAGATAAATGATTCGGATTGTTTAGAAAGTGAGCTCGAAAGTTGATTATTTGTGTTAGAGATTGAGAAAGGCAAAAGTTGTCACTGACACTAGAACCGAGCCATTCAGAGTGATGAGCAATTAAATCCTTAACAAACGTGATATTGGCTGAAGAATAAAGAGAAAGGACTTGGTCAATTTGATCAGAAATAACATTGGAAAAGAGTGCAGTCTTAAGGTGAAGGAGAACGATATAGAACAAACAGAAAGATGATAGAGTGAAGTGGTGCTAAACAAAAACGCATAGTCTGTAGATTCAAACCTAGTTTCCCAAAAAATTGGGTAAATTCTAACAAATGGAAATGCCCAGGCCGAGCTAGTGACTATTGGTGCTTTTACAAATTAAAGAAAAATAACCATCAACGCTAAGATCACAAGATGAGACACCTGAACTCTAATTAGTATCACAAAGAGAAAGTAGGTCTGGTGATTTTTGCAAGAGATAAGACTCAACAATAGAAAAGTTACTTTGAAGACCATGAATATTAGTGAATGATTTAGAGAACTTAATGATGATGGTCTCTTGTATTTTATAGTTTTTGGTATTTAGTCTTTTTTAAATTGGTTAAAGAACTTGACTCAAAGCACATATAGTACTCAGTACATTATGTAACAGTCCAAGCAATTGTTACTTAATACTATTGTTAAACCATAAGCCGTAACAAAGGGCTCTAAATATGGCCTCGACAATGCACACTAAAATTATGAACAGGAACACCATCTATGCGCAACATAGTACTGTTAGTACTCATGACACATAAAACTACAGAGTTTGGCAAACCTGACTAATAGCCGGCTTAAAACTTTTAAACTGAGATTTAGAGCTGTACTTTCATAAGGAGATAATAGAATGAGTTGTTTGGTCATAGGAAGAGACAAAAGCAAAACCTATGCAATGAGTCAATAAGATCTAGCATTTAATGTCCTAAACTGGAAAAAATGTGTTTTAAATACATCTATGCCAGCTTACTAGATGAAGAAGGGGTGCAAAGCTAGTCAACAGATTGAATCTGTTTAAGTCTTTAACTAGGAGACCTTCTACAAGAAAGTAGCTAGGTATGTTTAACATCTGCTCGACATGATTATTTTTATTGAAACTTTTATTGAAAATTTTATTGTTTGTAGCCTTAATTAAGAGCCCTAACTCAAGGGGTTAAGTCAGAGTCAGTCATCTCCTTGCCTTTGCCTAAAAACGTGTGTCCTACAAAGCAGCAAGACATAAAAGAGGTTGTAATGTCTTACACATCACAATGATAACCTGAACTGACTTTAAGTTTAACTCTAACCTTAGGAGGCAAATTAATTTTTTTTTTTTTTTTGTAAGTTAAAAGTTGGTTCCTTTATTCGTTCCTGTAATTTAAGGTAGTTTTTACATATCACTTTATCCATAAAGTTTAGTTAAAAGTAGTTGCATGAAAATGCATGAAAAAATAAATTCCTAAGAATATTTTATAGTTGTAATTTTCCATAGACCCATTTTTTTTTAATCATGGTGAATCAAGTTTAATCATACTGAGCATTCTGTTTTTTTTTTTGCTTGTTTTTTTTTAGTTTTGCTCTTCGCTATTCAAAATCTTACTATCTCACTGTTTTTCTTTACATCACAAACTAAATGTTTTTCTCAGGAGCTGCTCAAGAGCTAAACATAGTTTCTTGATTTTTATAACCTTGTAAGTTAATTTTTTCATCTATTCACTGTTTTTAATTGTATTTTTTAGTAAGTTTCGATTAACATTTTAGATTATATTTTTAGTTATATGGAAACTTCAAATACCTTTTATGACTACAAACTTCTTCAAGATTGTTTTGTCTATTCCTGATTGATTCCTGTCTAGCTAAAAAATTCTGTTATAAAATTTGTATCCGCTCCTATTTTTGGTTTGATTTCCAAAAAAACCTATATGGCTCCCGTTTCATGTTTTCACAAAACATGGTGTTTATATTTAACTGAGCTAAATTGTTTTCTACAATCTAAAAGAATGGCTTCTTCTTTAATCCAAGCTGTAAAGAAATCTTTCAAAGTAACATTAGTTCTTTTATCAAAACTTCATAACTGAGTATGCTTAGGTCTTTTATTCACCTTGATTTAATTGGACAAGATTTGTATAAATCCAATTAAATTAAAATCAATAAAATGCAATTGTACGAATCCGGCATTAAGGCATTAAATTCTCTCATCAGATTGCAAAATATGCCCTACATGTTCAAAGTAATTCATTGATATTTTTTAAGCGTTTGAAGACAAATGTCAAGTAAATGAAATTTAGTCAGTTAGTTTTAATTAGAGTTTAGTGCTCTTGTGGATGTAAAATAAATTATTAATTATTATCCAGTAAGCTTAGAAAGTTAACAAGTTCAACTTGCTTTTTGATTTAAATGATTGTTATAAATTTAACTACTAATCTACTTTAAACTTTCTTTCCTCTTAAATGTGTGAGGACATTTAAACAAACTTATTAACAACTAAATAAGTTCATTAACAACTTGGGATATTTGTGTGTCTGTCATCATTAATTATTTGTGAGTACCTTTTATCCAGTAAACATATATTTCAAATTATATGATCAACATTTTCTGTTTTTGCAAAATATTTTTCGTCTTTTTTTATTATAGTTTTTATATATCACCTAAACTTGAAATTTTATACATAATTTAAATTTTTACTTTTTTCTATATCTTTTTATCATTTTTTTCAAAAATCAATTTTAATCCTTTCATGATCAGTGGAAGTTCATGATCTGTATGCATAGATTTTGTTTTGATATAATGTTTTAATACTTATTATGATAATAAATGATGTAGTTTGATATTTTTTTATCGCTATATTGTTAATAGATGACACAGTTTTTTTGTTTTTGTTTTTTGTTTTATGGTATTCTCTTCCCAAGGCTGAGAAGGCCACTTCAGTGAAGGAAGCTACTTTTTTGTGGTTACAACCCTTTCTGATCTCTTTAACTCTGAAAAATCATCCTTTTTTGATATTTTTATAGTTATTATGGTAATAGAAGGCGTAATTTGATATTTTATTACTTACTTGATATTTTATTTACTATACAAAAAAGAAATTACAATGAAATTAATTTCTTGATTATTTGTATAAACTTAAAGCTTTTGTCTAATGTTTTTAGAATGAAAAACTTACAGTTTGTGGTGATATTCATGGTCAGTTTTATGATTTACTTAATATCTTTAAAATTAATGGATATCCTTCAGAAAAAAATCCTTATGTATCTTTTCTAAATGTAAATTTAAAAAAGTAGTTTTTTTATGGCGTAATTTCTATAGACTTATATTATCATAGTTTTTTAAATATTTTAAGTGGGAAAGAAATTTCATTTTCTATTTATATATTTACAATTTCTTAACAAAATAAATAGCTTTTTAATGGGGATTTTGTTGATCGTGGTTCATTTTCTGTTGAAGTCATCTTAGTTTTATTTAGTTACAAGCTACTTTACCCAAATCACTTTTTCATGGCTAGAGGTATAGGTTTAAATGTAATTTAGATATAAAGATAGCACCAAAAATTAACATTTATGCATTCTTGAATTGTTTTTTTTTTAGGCAACCACGAAAGTGCCACCATGAATCAAATGTATGGGTTTGAGGGTGAAGTAAAAGAAAAGTATACTTATAATTAAATTTTTGTTCTAGTTTTTATTTCTTTGTTAATATTACCAAACACCTTTCATTAAAAGTTTGCTAAAGCACTGTATGAGCAAGTCAAAAATTGTCATTTTTAGATAAAAATAAAGATTATAATTATATAAATATATTTATTTAAGGTTTTATATATATACATTATAATGCACTTTGTGTACTGCATATTGTGTTAATACTCACATCATCAGCCCTAGGGTTGGCATTCTGTAACAGGGACTTGACTGCCAAGGACTTAACTGTGTTTGAGGTTGGCAAAAACTTGCTGAACTCGTTTCTGTTTTTTATGGTAAATCTCTTGCATTTAATTATTTTTGTTAACCTTATGCCAACCTCTAACAGATTAAGGTTTATTGCTGACCTCATTTTTTCTAATTCTGAAGGATGAATCATACCCAATATACAACTGTTCATAAGCATATTTTTTTTTTAATATAACCAGGGATTTTCTTTTAATTTTTTAAATTTTTCTTAATATTCAAATAGTTTTCTGGAAATTTTAGTTAAAAATATTTTTTTTGTAACTTGGTATCTAATGATTTTTTTATAATATATAAATTAATTTAATTTATTTAACCCTATTAAAATCTGTATTGAAATATACATACTCCATACGCCTATCACTATTTAAGTCAGTGGATGTATGTACACACTCTTTTGTGAATTGGGCTATAACAAACAATTTATGCATACATTGATGCACTTTTTTTATAAAATTTAAAAAATATATAATTAACACCAATAATAGTTAAAAACATAAAACTACTTCAAAATAAAACTAAAAAAAAAAAATTAAAACTAAAAAGTTCTCTATAGAGCTTCGAACCTGCAACCTTGTCATCTGCGCCTCAAGTTAAATCATTGTAACATCAACAGCACTACATTACTTTAACTAAATTACATCCACAGCTACTAAATTACTTCAAACAAAAATTAAAATATATAATCATTTTTTGCTTCCAAATAATGTTTATGATACATACTTTATTTGTTTATACTATGTTTATATGTGCGTAAAAGTAATTTTTTCAAACACATGATATATTCTCAATTAAACAATATCCATATTTATTTTCAGATTTTTTCTGGATATTTTTAGGAAAAATTTTTCCCGATTTTTAATAAGTAACTCTCTGTATAATACTCAACATGCAACTCATTATATGAACCTTTTTCAAGTGTAATACTCAGTAAACAACTCACCGGACGCATCTTTTTTGAGTATTTAGCATAAAAACATGCAATTTTTTTAGTATTAAATAGAGTTTATTTTTGCAGTAATAAAGTTATTTATTTTTAATTGAATTTTAAACTGAGAATCAAAAAGATTCAACATAAGCAGAGGATCTCTCTGCTTATTTTGAATCCTTTATAAACCATATATTATAAACCACATGTATATTATAAACTACAAGACATGAAATTATTCAGGTATGACAATTCTTTTTTTTTTTTTTTTGTATTTTGCATGGTCCAATCTTTTGCTTTGATAAAAATGATCTAAGGCTTCATCGCCAAGCAGACTTTCTTTTAGTAAAACTATTTTTAGCATTACTGTAATATCATTTTTTTCTTCTTTAATTAGATTTGATTGCCAAGTTTACTAATGAGCTAAAATGACTGGTTTTAGCTATTTGTTTTTGATAGCTGAGATAAAGTTGAGAAATATTCAAAACAGCAGCAGCTGTATAAACAGCAGAGTTATTAACAAAGTATAAATTAAACTAAAAAAATTAAGAAACTACATTAAAAAAATTCTTGGCTTGGAAGAGGAAAAATACGGATAAAAATCCTTAACTTGGGATAATGCATGTACCTAAAAAGGCCACCTTCTAAGAGTTGATTTTTAGATATATATGCTCTCTCCTGATTTCCCTGAATTTCACTTATGCTCTGATTCTTTAAATCTAATATAAAATTATGATTAATTATTATTTCTTTATGATTTATTTTACCTAAATAATTTCTTTTATTTGTTATATTTATATATATATATATATATATATATATATATATATATATATATATATATATATATATATATATATATATATATATATATATATATATATATATTTGTGTGTGTGTGTGTGTGTGTGTATGTATATATACACATTTTAATACAGAAACTGTATTATAAAATATTTTACTACATTTTCCTGATGAAGGGCAAAATGCATTTTTTATATTAATCACTTTTACTCTTTCGGAATAATTAGTGAAGACATTATTATATCAATTTTTTTGTCTGCAAAATATGCATAGCAAAGGAGAAGAAGAATTTTTTTGTTGTCAAGTTTAAGTCAAGTTTAAGTGCATGTTTAGATAACATATCTTACATTATACTGAAATAATCTGCTGCTGGGGGCTTTAATACTTAACATCAACTATCATTTGTCGACATTGTCAAAGGTGTGTGCTAGATTGACTATGGAAATTTTTTTATATATATACTTTCTCTTTTTTCATAGATATTCTGCAAAGATGGCAGATTTATTTACTGAAGTTTACAATCTTCTTCCTTTGTCACATTTAATAAATAAAAAAGTTCTGGTGAGTAGTTAAATTAGATTATCCATTAGATTATTCCAAATGTTAAAAGCTTAGGATTTTTTCATAGTTATAGTCATGACCTTTGGTCATGACTATAACTATGCTTTTGCTAAATAAATTTTATATCTTTTTATTTTGATAATTTTAATGCTACCCTACAGACTCAAAATGACTCTTTTTGAAAAATGAAATTTTTGATACTATTACAGATTTGTGAGTTATTTTGTCTATATAGAGGCAAATAAAAATGTAAGATAGTATATATATATGTATGTATATATATATATATATATATATATATATATATATATATATATATATATATATATATATATCCTTATAGTGTAGTCGAAAGAGACTTTTATGGTAAAAAAAGTCCATTTCAACTATAATTATTTTACCTTGTCTCTTAAGCTGCATTTTATTTTTGTCGAAATGTCAAAGCAATTAAATTAATACGGAAGTACATTAAATTTTATTGTTTTTAAAAAAAACCGCAATAATAATGACAAGAAAGTTTTTTTTAATTAGTGGTGTTTTTGTTTTTGTTTTATTAAAAAACATTTTTAAAACATGCGTAAATGTTGCTACATTGACTATCTTATAGCCTGCTGGTACAAGGTAGTGTTGCTACATCGACTATCTTATAGCCTGACTCGCAAAGGAGTGCTGCTACATCGACTGACAAATAGCCTGACTCGCAAGGGAGTGCTGTTACATCGACTGACAAATAGCCTCACTCGCAAGGGAGTGCTGCTACATCGACTGACAAATAGCCTCTCTTGCAAGGGAGTGCTGCTACATCGACTGAGGGTTTGGTTTGGGCAGGCAGTCTATCATTTAAAAAAAAAAAAAAATTTCGAAGTTTTTTATTATTTTCTGGTCAGGCTTATTAATGCGCTCTTTAAAACAACAGGTTATGGGAAAAACTTTGTGACTACCATGCAATTTTGACACACTCATTAGTATGTTTTTTAATGAACTGAACTGTTTATTATGGCCATGAATATATTAAATATCAGAGCATATGCACATGAAAGTCTCCCCTTACAGTTAAAATTTCTACTTACTCTTTTTTCCAAGTATCCAAAAGTTCCAAAAGCAGTTTTTTTAAATTTTTATTAAGTATTCTTCCTAATTTCCAGGCTCTTCTACTGATAACTTTCTATTATCTATTATAACTTTTTGTTAATTATTGTTACTATTATTTTTATATTGTTACTGTATTTTATTATAATCTACTGCAATCGGTATTACTTAGTTAGATATAAAAATTTTATATATGTTATATTAAATAATTATATTTTATTTGTTGTTTTATCAGTTTTCTTATTTTTTCATTTATATATATAATTTACTGTTTAAGTTCTGTACTACTTTTGTTTTTAGTTTTTATTGACTAAGGTATTTAACTAAAATTAATAATTGTAATATATGTAAATATTATATGAAACTTAAAATCTATTTCAGAATACATTTGATTTAATTTGCATACCGTTTTTTTTTTTTTTTTTAACATCTTCGCTTCCAACAAAGTTGCAAGCAACCACTAATTAGAGTTGGAAGTTACTCGAAGAGAAAAGATTAAGATTATAGAGCAAGATAATGATTGACAGACGATTTAAAAGATCGCAAATTATATGAATCAAGAAAACAAGATAAAGGAAGCGAATTCTATAGAACTGATGTTCGAGAAAAAAAAATAGACAAATAAGAGTTTTTGGAGAACTTAGGAACAGTCACAGAAAAAGGCGAGACTTAATTGAATGACGAGTAACAAGAGAATGAATTTTAGTAGATGGCACACGAGACGCTAGCTCTTTAGAGCAGTGCCCATTATAGTATTTGTAGAAAAGAGAAAGAGAAGCAACATTACGACGATGTGATAATGGTTAAAGGTTAGCTGCAAGAGCAGGTCTAACTATCTTTACAATGCATTTTTACATCTTGTCTAAAATAGAAAGGGCATCATTAGAAGATCCGCCTCAGATATGGCAACAGTATTACAAAACTGGATTTGCGATTTATAGAGATAGAGAATAGAATCCGGAGTAAGAAAGTTTAGAGATCAATAAAGAGATACAACTTTAGCAGATGCTAATTTTCCAACCGATTTGATATATGGTTTCCAAGAAAGACAGAAGTAAGAGTTAATCCTAGAAGAGGAAGGGTAGATGACTCATCGGGTACATTACCGTTCATAAATATAGAAAGGTCTAAATTATTAAAATAACGATTGGCTGAAAAAAATTGAGTTTTATCTGAATAAAAGTTCACCAGCCACTGTGAACCTCATGCTGTTGCAGAAGTGAGATCCTTTTTAAGCTCAAATGCTCCCTCCAAGCAATCAGAGAGTGTTGGCTTCTTATCATGACAAGAATAAATGGTAACATCATCAGCGAACAATGCCACCTTAGATGTGAGAATATCTTGAAGATCGTTAATGTAAATTAAAAAGAGTATAGGGTCAAGGATTGAACCTCGAGGAACCCCTGAGGTTACAGAATAAGAAGAAGAGTGCTGTCCATCAAGGACAACTTTTATACTATGATTGGAAAGGAAAGATTCAATAATCTTAAAGATGTTTCTAGATACACCGTAAGAAGAAAGCATATGGAGAAGACCAGTATGCCAAACTTTATCAAACGCTTTAGACATGTTAAGAGCAATGGCCTTAACTCTCCACCTTTATCTAATGCACAATTAATTATTAGATTCAAAATTCAAAATTAAGTGTTTGTTAATTAAAGATTCAAAAACCTAAGATTCAAAAACCTATGATGTTTATGATAGGAAGAAGACTAATGGGACTGTAGTTGGACGAATCAGATTGCTCTCCAGAATTTTTGAAAATAGGGATAACAGATGCTGGTTTCCAGCAGGCTAGAAAACAAGACTCTGAAAAGCACTAGTTGAGTAGTTTTGAAAGTATAGACGACAGCTCAGGAGAATACTTCAGCAAGACTATAACAGGTATGTTATCCGGGCCACAAGCTGTAGAAGAATCTAAGCAGGAAATCACTTTAGATACAGAAGCTGGAGTGATACAAATGTCAAGCAATCAATCAACCTGTTTGACGGCTATATCAGGTAGAATGCAATTAGTGGAATCAAGAGATGATATGGATGAAAAGTTCTTAGCAAACAATTCAGCTTTGTCTTTAGGTGAGGTGACAAAGTCTGAACCATACAAGAGAGTAAAATTACAAATTTGCCCTTATTATTGATACTATTAAAGATTCTCCAGAAGTCACGAGAGCCTAATTTTTGTGATGAAATACAAGATTTCATGACCTAAGAATAGCGGGCTTTGGCGTTAAACAAAACCTTTTTACAATGGTTTTTAGCAGTAATAAACAGACGTCTGTTTTCTGGAGAATTGTTTTAGTGATAGATATGGAAGTAATGGTTTCGATTGGCAATTACAGCAGCACAATGTGAGGAAAACCATGGAGAAGAGTGAGGTTTAACCTGGAATCATTGAGAGGGAATAAAGGATTCCATGCCAGCCTGAATCCACGAAGTTATGTAAGAAACACATTTGTCAACAGGAAGATGAAAGATTTCTACCCACGAGCCATCACGAAGAAAATCATGGAAAGAGTCCCAGTCAGCTTTAAGGTAGTTGTAAGAAGTACAATGATTAGGGAATTCTGATGATGAAGAAGAATGAGATAATAGTTTTAAAGAGATCAAACTGTGATCAGAAGCACCTAAGGGTGAATATGAAGAAACTGAGTACTGACTAGTATCAGAAACAAGACTTAAGTGGAGGAGAGAAGGTAAATGATTATGGTAGTCTGGAAAGCGAGTTGGAAAGTTTACTATTTGAGTTAGGGATTGAGAAAGGTAAAAGTTGTGGGCTTTAATGCCTGCAGAGTGACTGACACTAGAGCCAAGCCATTCAGTGTGATAAGTATAAAGTCACTGACAACAACAATATTAGCTGATGGATAAAGACAGAGGGCTTTGTTAATATGATCAGAAATAACAAATAAATGCAGTTTTGAGATGAAGGAGAGCGATATAGTACAAAGAGAAAGGCGATAGAGTGAAGTAGTGCTAAACGAAAGCACACAAAAGAGTAGTCTGTGGATTCAAACCTAGTTTCCCAACAAATGGGTGAATTCTTATAAATGTCAATGCCTAGGCCAAGCATGTGAAGCATGCACACCGAAAGTACAAACAAGGACACTATCCATGCGCAACATGGCACTGTTAATACTTTGATATTTTTCAGCTTTTGATGGAATCAGCCTCTCTGAGAGCTACCACAGAGTTCGGGAAACCTGACTAGCAGCCAGCCTCAGAACCATTAAACTGAGTTTTAGAGCTGTACCTTCATTAGGAGATAATAGAATGAGTTGCCTAGTCATAAAAACAGAGACACAAGCAAAACCCATGCATCGAGTCAAGAAGATCCAACATTCAACATCCTAAACTGGAAACAATGTATTAAAAATACATCTGCACCAGCCTAATAGATGAAAAAGGGGTGCGAGGCTGGTCGACAGATAGAATCTGTTTACCCCTTGATGTTATTTTAAGGATTTCAAGTTCTGAATAAAGCTTGGGATTTCTTTTTACAAATTTTTATGTTATGCTTATATGAAAAATATTTTTTTGTTAAATACCTTTTCACAATTTTGTTTATATTTGTCATAATTCAATTTTAAATTGAGGCATTAAGTTCCACAAAAGTCAATATCCATTTGAAATAAGTTTTAGCACATTTTTAAAATGTAATCTCAGTATCTAGTTTTTGCAGAATTTCGTTTTTTATGATAATTATCTTGATCATGATGATGGTGATTATGAATGTTTAATTGATTTGGCTTAATATTGATACTTATTATTTTATCTTAGACTATGCATGGTGGACTGTTTAGCAACGATAATGTAACTCTAGAAGATATTAAAAACGTAGATAGAAATAGACAACCTCCAGACTCAGGTATAAGAAAGTTAGTTTATTATGTTGCAAATATTTTTTGATTATCAATATACATGCTTAATAAGTTCTAATCATAGTAAGTTAAAACAAAAAGGTAAAAGTTAGTTTATAATGTTACAAATATTTTGTGATTATCTACCTATATTAAAATAAAAAGGTATGGGAAAGTTAGTTTATTATGTTACAAATATTTTGTGATTATCTTTCTATATTAAAATAAAAAGATATGGGAAAGTTAGTTTATTATTTTACAAATATTTTGTGATTATAATACCTATATTTTTAGTAAGTTATAATCTCTATTAAAAATGCATAGAAAATAAAAAGTTTTAGAATTTTAAGTTTCTAATTATGAAGTTCATTAATTGATAAATGATTACCAATTTGTAATCATTTTTCAAAAAGTCTATTTTAGAAGCTTCTTACTCAATTGCATATCTGCATATATATAATTGCATTTTTTTCTAAAAAAAAAAAAGAAATTGTAAATTAAATTATTATTTTATTTAATTAAAAACAACTTAAACTGATTGAAGATTGAGAATTATGAAATATTATTCTTTTTATAAATTTTTTTTTTAATTATGGCTTTTAACTTTTGTTACTTTTTAAAATGAATTTATTTGTTATTTGTTTCTTTTTGGTTCTTTTTTTTTTTTACTTCTATTGTTACTTTTAAACATGTTGTCAATTAACAGTTTAGTAATATTAACTAACAACGCCCAACATTTCAGCCCACCAATTTATACTGCAACTTTGATACGTAATGAAATATCAACCTGTTCACAACAACAAAAAGTGAATACTACTACTAACTAGGTTTATCACATGACATTGCAAACTCATCACCAATTAACAACTCGATAGCAGCAACAAACAATGCCCTAAATCTGGGGTGTGCAACCTGTGCCTGCGAACTCTGTTCTGCTCTTTTTTGAATAAAAATTTAGTTTGTGTGGTTTTTCAACATAATTGACTTTAATTTTATTAAAATAAACAAAAAAACTGTTGAAGTGAATTAAAATTATATTGAGTTATCTAATTATTTATATAATATATTTATATAGTATTGCTCTAACACAGGCTTAGTTCCACAAAAGTGCATGAAAAAAATTTATTTAAAAACTGTAAAGTTTAGAATGTAATGCTTATAGATAAAATACAATCAGCGTAAAAACTGTTTCATTAGATTAGAAATTGGAATAAATCTAACTATGTTGAACTTTGCCATTGATAACTTTTAGGATAAACTATTCTGTAATTTAGTCAAACATTTTTATTCAATGTAAACATTTTTATTCAATGTAGAAGTCTAAAATTTATCTAATTTTAGACTTGGCAGTAAAAATAGTCGTATAAAATTGTCTTGAAAACATTAAATCATTGTGAATTTTGTTTATTACTTGATGAAGGTAATGAAAGATATATCTATTGTTGTATGAAAATGTCCGTTTTTGGGGTGTTTCTTAAATGCTTTGTTCACTGTATTAATAATAAAATATTTTTTGTTGTCAAAAGCTTTTGAATAGCCAGAGTTGAACAATGGCAATTGGTTACAAAAATATTTTTTTTGCTATGGTTATTAGAGCTTATCTTAAAAATCACAATAAGGTGTTATAAAGACACGACTATAATAGTTTAATACAAAAATAGTTTTTTATAATTGTTTAAATATTGTAATATTTGCGTTTGTATTTTTATTTTTTCAAGTATCAGGTTTAGTAAAAAGTAAATTATAACTTTTATATTTTAAAGCCTGCCAAACCAGATTATTAAGAGGTATTTAAATATGAGAGATACCATGTTTAAAAAGTATCAGTTACAAATTATAGAGTTATAATAGATTAGCTAAACAGTGAAAAAAGCTGAAAAATGTTTAAATTAGTGGTACAGTCTTAGTAATATAATTATTCGACGAGTCAAAATTGCGCCTTTGTGTTAAAAAGAGAAAAATTAAAAATATAGTTTGTATTCTTTGAAAGCTGTAATCAAAGTGGGAAAACTGCAGATTGTGTAATTTTTTGTCAAACTCTTTTAAAAGTTGACTGCATAGGTTTTTAACAACAGTTTGAACTATCAAGAAATAATTACAACTAAAGTCACAATATATGTAAAGTTTTTACATAGATTGTGACTTTTTTTTTTGCGACAGTTTTTTGAATACCTAATACTTTCTCTTTTGCTTCGTTATTTAGTTTTAGGTTTTATGCGTTCTTAAAGAAAGTTTCTTTGACAAGAAACTTATAATATTTCTCCAGGTTTTTTTTTTACTGAGTTTTTGCTGAATTTAAAAACAAACTTCTATATTTAAATAAAGAGATAAAAAATATAATTATTGTAAATCCAGCAAAAATATTACCGATTCTTATCTAAATGTTTATTAATTCAATTCTAATCTAAAAATTTATTATTATTTGTTTCAAAAAACAAAAAAACAATAAACTCTTTCTAAACAAATTTTTCTAAACCTATATCTTTTGTTTGCAATGCATTGATTTCTTGCGACTATTTAAAACAATATAAATTGTTTTTCTTTAAGTGGAATGTGGTTAAATAACTTTGAATTATGATAAATATGCAATGTTTGAAATCCCCTTCCCCCTGCCTGCTGCAAGGGAAGGGGATTTCAAAATAAAATATTTTGCAATGCAATATTTTTGCTCTTGTTGAGCCCTGAATATATTAGGGCCTGATTATGTCCTGGTTTTGTCCTGGGATTTTGATTATTTGATTATGGTAATTATGATAGTTATGTCCTGAATATGTTGAGTTTGACTCCCACCATGTCCCTGGAAGTACCGCGCTCAACTTAATTTCTCCGCACAGCCGCCTTGAGGGTTGTACCACAATTTACTACAAAAAAAAAAAAAAAATTGAGTTGCCTCCTCGACTGTAGAGGCCCCCTCGGGCCTTGGGGAGGTAAATAATTAAAAAAAAAAAAAAGTCAAACCATAATTATCATAATTTAAAGTTATTTAATCACAAAAACGTTCTTTAAGAGTATATAAAACCTATAACTAAAAAGGGAAACAAAAGAGAAAGTATTAAGGTATTCCAAAAACAATTATTTTACATAGATTGGGACTTTTGTTGTGTTTACTTCTTGATAGTTCAAACAGTTGTTAAAAATTTATTCTGTGTTGATATTAAATCTAATATTTTTGCATTTAATGCTTTTTAAAAATGTCTTCAATAACTATTGGATGAATATATTATTATAAATTGCATAGTTGCTTAACTTTCATAAATTTCGATAAAAAATCTCGAAGTAGTAACTGATTATTTGAATAAACTTTTAATAAATGGAATTTCAATTGGAATTTTTGACTTTGTATTTTAAAAAAAGGTACTACACCACCAATACTATTGATTTTAAACAATTTAAATGGCGCTATTGAAACTACTGGCTGTTTAAATAACAATAATCGTATTTTAATGGACATTCTAAAGAAAAAATAAAAGTAAAAGTTTTTCCAGGTTCCTAGAGCTGCTTATATAGATAAGTGTTGTTTTTTTTTGTAGAAAAAAAGGTGTTGGAACTCACGCTGTAATTTTCTTTATGTCAAAAAGCAGTACTGTATATAAGATATAAACTATACAAAACTATAAACTTCTATTACAAATCCCAGAGTTTTTTTTCAATTTTTGTTAGATAAATTATCTTGTCTCTTTTCCTTGTTCCTATCCCTGTGTAACCATGAATCAACGTACAGTGGGACCACCGCTAACAAGCTTCGTTTTAGCATTAGATAAAATATTTTTACAATGGTTTCTAACAATAGTGAACAGACATTTATTTTCTGGAGAATTGTTTTGGTGGTAGAAATTGCAGCATCACAATGAGAAAAAAACCATGGAGAAGAGTGAGACTTGGCTTGGAATCATCAAAAGGGAATAAAAGATTTTTTTTTTTTTGAAGCCTTAATTGAAGTAGTTACATAAGAAGCACAATTAAATGCAGAAAGACAAAAGATTTGAAGAAGAATGAGATAATAGTTTTAAAAAGATCAAACCTTGATCAGAAGTATTGAATGCAGAGAAGGTTAAATGTGGAGAAACTGGGCACTATCTAGGATCAGAAACAAGTTATAAGTCAAGTATAGAAGGTAAATGATTTTGTCTGTGAGTTGGAAAGTTGGATTGAAGGAAACAACAAAGATATTGGCTAAAGTATAAAAGTTTGGTCAATTTGATCAGAAATAACATCTTAAAAGATGCTTAGTTAATGTTATATACATGTTAATAACTTAAGCAATAGAAAGATAGATTAAAATATTTTAGAATATTTAAAAATATTTCAATAGATTTTATTGTAAAATACATTTTATTGTATTTGTTTAGATTAAGCTATTAATATTTCCAATTATTTTTTTGTATATTTTTACATTTACAATAAACTGCAAATGTAAAAAGAAAAAAAAAAAAAATTAAAATGTCAACATAATTCTAGTTTTTCAGAAGAAAAAAAAAAAAAATTAATTTTTTTTGCTGGAATAAAACTCCTTGATATCTAGATAGTAACTGCCAAAACTGAAAATCTCAGATGCTTAGTCTGTGGATTCAAACTTTATGTTTTGACAAATTCTTACAACTACAAATGCCCAGGCCAAGCATATGATTATTGGAGTCTTAGGTTAAAGAAAATTGGAGTCTCAAGTTGAAGAAAAATAACTATGAACACTAAGATCACAAGATGAGACAGCTGAACTCAAGTTAGTCACACAAGAACAGGCAGATCCGGTGAATTTTGTTCTAAGTCAGAGTTGGCATCTCTAGCCTTTACCTAAAAAAGTGTATCCTACAAGTTACCAGGACATGAAACAGGTTGTACTGAGTTACATTTGACCTTGACAGACAACTGACCTTGACAGACAACTTAAAAGATTGTGAATTATATGAATCAGAAAAACAAGATGAAAGAATTGAATTTCAAAGAACTGATGTTTGAGGAAAAAAACTAGACAAATAAGAGTTTACGGAGCACTTTTTATGGAACATGAGAATGACTTTTAGTAGATGGTACAAGAGATGCTAGCTCTTTAGAGCTGTGCCCATTATAGTATTTATAGAAAAGAGAAAGAGAAGCAATATTACAATGATGTGATGAAGGTTGGAGGTTGGCTGTATATATATATATATATATATATATATATATATATATATATATATATATATATATATATATATATATATATATATATATATGTATTATATATATATATATATATATTATATATATTTTATATATTTTATACTAAATTCAAACATTTTTTCAAAAAATAAAAAGAACAACAAAAAAACAAAGAATAATGAAACGAAAACCAAAGTCTCCTTTTGTAATGAGTCCTTCATACATAGATGATACTTGTCCAAAATCAAACCCGCCAACAAATTATGTACTTAGGCCTCTACAGCTCCTTTTTTCAGTTATTTATGATTAGCTAAGCACATTAAGATCTTTATTTGTGACTACTTATACACATACAAACATACATACATACATATATATATATATATATATATATATATATATATATATATATATATATATATATATATATATATATATATATATATATATATATATATATATATATGTATATATATATATATACATATAAATATATATATATATATATATATATATATATATATATATATATATATATATATATATATATATATATATATATATATATGTATATATATATATATATATATATATATGTGTGTGTATATATATAAGTATATATAAATATAGATCTAATTCCTACTAGTCTATAAGGACTTTTACTAGAGCAAAACTTTTTATTATTGTTTTTATTTTTTTATGAAAAAAAGTCATTATTTATAAGTGCTTTAATATTTTAATTTGCTCTGACAGATTAATCTAGCTGTCTTGGAAGCCCAAACACAATCGGTAATTTATATAATGTAATGTAAGTTAAATATATTGTGTCAAGAATACGTTTATTTTACTGAGAAGATCACTTATAATGGAGCTTTTTTTTTTTTTTTTGTAATGAATAGTTCATAAGATAAAGTTAAAACCATTGATGCAGTTAACAATACCAATATGCAGAAATCTGATCTCATGTTGAAACATTTTTTTGTATAGAGTTTTGTATAGAGTTATCTCATTGTATTATAAGTATTATTAATATCATTTAAAATATTTACAACTATGTTTTAATACTTGTTTTTCAATACTGCTGTCATAATACTTTGTTATATTTTTGTAAAATGTTCTTTTTTAGGAATAATGTGTGAATTACTTTGGTCTGATCCACAACCACAGGTGAATAAAATTTTTTATTCTGATGGCAAATAAAAATGTTTAAAATTATGCTTACATTTACTTAATTTTTTTTATATTCAAAAAATCTCTTTTTTACAGCTTTGAAGCTTCTCAATAATGAGAGCATAAGTATGTCTCTCCCCTATATATATATATATATATATATATATATATATATATATATATATATATATATATATATATATATATATATATATATATATATATATATATATATATATATATATATATATATATATATATATATATATATATATGTATATATATATATATATATATATATATATATATATATATATGTATATATATATATGAAACAGTATGATCCTTTCTCTTGATTTTTTCCTCATGTATTTATAACGTATTGTATATAATTCACTCTAACCACAAGTAGTTTGCGCTTGAGTGAGTGCAAGTCACACGTGCTTATAGTGTGTTATGTATGGTGTCCTAATTAGAAGTATTACAAGATATTTTTTTGAGATTATTAGTTATATAAATTGAAGCTTTATAAATTATAAGATTAAAGAGATTAAATATATATAAAAATTTATGAAAGCTTTTTTATCATTTTTTTACATTATTCAGTCTGCTCTTGGTAAACTTAATCATTAGCCTACTGTAATATTAACATCATAATATTTAATTTTAACATTATAACATTATAATATTATAATATATATTAACATTAGATGGGTAGATCTCCAAGTAAACGAGGTGTTGGGTGCTCTTTTGGTCCAGATGTAACAAAAGCATTTTGTAAAAAAAATAACTTAGGTAATTTTTACATTTTTGAAATTTATTTCAATAACATTTTTTGTATTTCAGTGTTTTGTTCTTTTGATTAGTTCATTTTTAATAGCGCATTTTGTTTTATATACTTTTTTAAACTTTTTTATTAAAAAGATTAATAATTTAATCTTGTCAATAAATGAATAAAAAAAATTATTTTTATAAAATATATCTTTAATTCTTTTTTATTTTTTGTTAATAAAGATAAATGGTTTATGGTTTAATTTTTTTTTAAGAATATATAATTAGAAGTCATGAAGTTAAACCAGAAGGTTATGAAGTAATGCATGATGGAAAATGCATAACTGTGTTTTCTGCACCAAATTACTGGTTTGTTTACTTTTTTACTTCTCAGTTAAAATTATTGTTTAATGTAAATATATAAAATTGTAAAATGTAAATATATAAAAGTTTTTTTTTATTATGCTTAAGTATGTTTATCATTTATTATGGGTAGTGATCAAATGGGAAATAAAGGTGCATTTATTACCTTGAGAACTGATCTAAAACCTGTTTTCACAACATACGAAGCAGTGGTATATATAATTTTCTTTAGATTTGTTCTTTGTTCATAATAATTTAGTTAACCAAGAAAAAGTAATAAATTTTTTTAAAAAAAAAGAATTAAAATTTTTGTTTTAATTATTTATTAACAACTCATTTTTGTTTGTTAAAAATTTTTAATTTTTTGTTTTTTTGTTTTTTGTATTATTTAGCCCCATCCTGCAGTGAAACCCATGGCTTATGCTAATAACATGATGTCCATGTTTGGCCTAATGTAACTTACTAGACAACATGAAAATGTGATGGCGTGGATCAATTAAATGTAATGTAATTAACTCAACTTGGTCAGAATGATGTTGAGAAATATTTCTCTGTTAGAGAATAATTGGATTAAAAAAGTCTTTGTACTTGTTTCCAAATTTTAACATAAACTATTTTGATATGTATTGGTGTATACTTTTTGATAAAATCTGCTTCTAGGAATACTTGACATATTTTATGCATTATTTAACAATTTAATTTTCTATTGATTTAATTCTAATGAAATAACTTTTTATCTTGTTTAATGTTTTTCAATAGTTTTATATTTAATATGCAAAAAATATTGGTCCCAATATTTTTATAAAATTGTTTGTTGTATTTTTCCAACATTTTATATAAAAAAAAAAAATATATAAAAATTAGGTGATTATAAAAAATTAAAATATTTGTTTAATTTTATTTTTATACACAACAATGTATAAACTGTTGACCCAATTTCTTGATTGTTATTAATGTTATTTTTATACACAAGAATATGCAATCTTTTGACCTGTTTTCTTGATTGTTATTAATATTGATCCATTTTAGAATGTAGCAATTACCAAAATTCTTTGACTTTAAATTCTCCAAAGAAATAAGAAAAATTAATAATATTAAAACATTAACTAACCTTGAGGCTATTTTTAGTGAAAAAAACTTTAGTGAAAAAGTATTTCAACCTGCTCATTAACTGACAAGGAATGAAATGACGATTTGTGTGTAATGTTGAATTTTTTTTCTTTTTTTAGAAAGTATAATATTTTGAGCAAAAACCATTTTCCAAAATCTGGTAATCAAAATAAATGTTTTCAAAAGCTTTTAAGAAAAAAAGTTCATTTTAAGTATTGGTTATTATTATTATTATTATTATTTTTTTGAGGCTCTGGTTGATAAAACATGTCTTAAATCAATTTTTATTCTCCAGGCAGTAACCTTGTTCATTGAGGTTCATGTTTTGCAGTCAAAAAGTTCTGAGAGGGTTGTAACCACAATAACTAAAGTCAGATCCTGGAGGAATCTCTAAAAGTCTTTAAATTGAAAAAAAAAAATCTATTTACAGTTTTAACCAAACTTTCAAATTTTTGTTTTGGCATTAAAAGTATTTTCCCACCTTTTGTATATCTTTGATAATAATATCCTATTAAATAAATGATTAGGTTATTACAAAATTAACTAGGTATATGTGTAATTGTACTCTGTGTAAATGTACTTATGTTTATATGAGCTGTATGTATGTGTAATTATATATACTATGTGTCTATATACTTACAAACATGGTGGAATATAATTTAAAAGTAAGGTATGAAAATATAAAGTACATTTTAAAAAGTACAAAAATCAATGTTACATGTTTTTATACTTTTTTTAAAAATTAAGTTCAACAAAAAATACAATTAAAACAAATTTTAAAAGTATTTAAAAATTTTTTTTTTTAATACTTCTGCATGTCTAGATATATACAATACTAATATTTTTGTAGCACTTAAGTTTTTAGGGCTTTGCGCACTTTATTCTAGACAGACATTTTTCAAAAAAAGATATATAACCAAAGGATAAAAATCTTCTTTGCTTAAATTGATCTTCTTACTTAAGAGATTCTTCTTATCTTACATATTTTCTAAACTCTCACTAGGGCTGGGGTAAAATGCATTTGAATAAATAAAAATACGTTAGTTCTAGATTTCTAAATACAAATTCAAATACTAACATATTTAATCAACATTTTTCAAATACTATTTGTATTTTAGGTCATGAAAAATACTGATAAAATGGTATATTAAGGGGGCACAACCCCATTAAAAAGTGTAAATTGTTTAAATTTTTTTTTTTTAAATACACTTAACTTAACTTAGATTTATCTAAAAAACTGTTGGTGATATTTTTTTTATTTTTTAAATAGATACTAAAATTGGTCAAAATTTCATTTATTTAGATTACTGTTATTTTAACTCCCCTAGCAATGCACAGAACAACCGTTTTTGAGTACTTTTTTTCACCTTTTTTTAGCACTATTTTAAAGTTGACCTTAGATTTTTGTTTTTGCAAATAGTTTCTTATTAGAAGTTAAATGGTTTAAAAGTTGAATTTATTATTGACTGTTTTATAAAAAACATTACAGGGAACCGAATAGTTAAGATGAAATTGTTAGCTAGGATTTTTAACATTCGTTTGTGTCGAGTGGGTGCACATGTGCACATTCAATGAAGATAAATCAAAATTAGAAGTTAGAATTTGTTTTTGAACTTGAGTTTTAGTATGCAATTTGTGATTTAAATGGCTCTGAACTTTAAATAAAGATTAGAAACAAAATATTTTGACATTTGTAGTTGAATGGTATGCATATGACAGGGTATGTAGCATGCGTACAACAGGGATGGGTTA